AGAGAAGGATATCATGTTTGGTAAGGGGGAGGGTCAGAGAAAAAGAGGAAGACCCCCAATGAGATGGATTGGCCAAGTGGCAGCATCAATGGACTCAAGCATGGCAATAATAGTGAGGTTGGCCCAGGATAGGGCAGTGTTCCGTTCTGCTGTGCATAAGATCACTATGGGTCAGTACTGACTCGATGGTACCTAACAACAACAATTGCTGATAAGCTTGTTGTTGTTAAGTGCCATCCAGACAGTTCCGACCCATAGCAACCCCCCTGTATAGAGTTTACGAGGAGCAGCTGTTGAGCTTGAACCGCCGGCCTTGCAGTTCAAAGGGCTTTGCAGTCTGGTGCTTTAACCTACAGTGCCAGACCAAGACTCTGATTTGTTGGACTTCTGGTGTGGCACTGTGGGTTAATGCGTTGGACTGCAAAGTCGGTTTCAACCACATGGTTGGTGGTTCAAACTTGCCAGTTGCTCCTTGGAAACCCTATACAGGGTCACTATGGGTTGGAACCGACTCAACAGCACTTAACAACTACAACAACAACAACTGATGATTTGCTAGGTTAACCTTTGGGCTGCTAATTGAAAGTTTGGAGGTTCAAACCCAAAAGGCTCTCCAGAGGAACAATATGAAATAATCAGCTTTTACAAAGATTTTCAGGCTCCAAAGCTCTGTGGAGAATTTCTACTCTCTTCTACATGGTCACAATGACTTGAAATTGATTTGATGGCAGTGGGTTGTGTTTGGGTTTGATATTTTTATTGTTAGATTCCTCAATCAATTGTGAATTATTTAAAGCCAGTATGGTAATGGTGATGTGTCATCGAGTTTGTTCTGACTCATAGTGAACCTATATAGTGTTTCCAAGGTTGTAAATCATAGCAAGAGCAAAACACTTCATCTTTCTCCTATAAAGTGATTTGTAGATTCCAGCTGGTGATTATTTGGTTAGCAATCCAACACCTAGCAACTACACCACAGGTGTGTTTATTTTCTGACAACTCAATGAAGTAGGTGCTTGCTAACTAGGGATTAAGATAGAGTAAGATATTTTCTACATGTAAAGAATAACAATCATTATTTTAATATAGGAAATTTCATAAGAGATGCCTAGTGCGGTGCTATAAAATAACCACTGAATTGGTAAATGTAACATCAGCAGTTCAAACATATGGGTGGCTCACAAAAACCTTATACTAGGTCATTATGAGTCAGAACAGATTACACGGCACACAACAATAACAATAAAAGAAAAATAGAGTCCTGATAAGGTCAGAGGTTCAAACTTCCTATTAACTCCACAGAAGAAAAAACCTGGTGATCGCCTCTCATGAAGATACAACCTAGAAAACCCTCCAGAGCAATTCTAGTCTGCTGCATGGGGTTGCTGAGTTGGAATCAATTCAACAGCACCCAATAAGAGCAACATAAAATAAAAATAGTAACAATAAAAGTAAAATCAATTTACATATTCTCCTTTATATTTATTACATCATAGATTCTTACAAAAACAATTTAAAGTCTTATATTGTAATATTTATTATGTTAAACATGATACCGATGAGCAAACAAAGGTGAAGCAACTAACTTGCTCAAGGACTATAGCTGATTAGTAGGAGAGTCGAATTGATTCAACTGATACTGTCTTTCTGGATCGTGATTGGTTTACGCTCTTTCTTCACTTTGATTTATCATCTTTGTGCGAAAGCAAGTTTCACAGTTTCTTCTGGTATCATTTTTGTTTTAAAAAAAACTTAACTTTTAAGAAACTTACAAGTTTCTATTATGAATTGAGTGAATGTTCATAGGGCAGATTATCAATTTTACATTTAATAAATATTTGTTTCATAGCAATGATTACAATCTCCTCTATGTACCATCAATAAGCAATATTATCTGTACACCCACCTCCTTTGTTGATGTATACATACAAGCAAAAACTTGCATATTGATTTAAATGTCCAAAGGGCACACTTTGCAA